ATTTTTGTTTGTGATTAAATTTTCATGAGAGAGAGTGTGTGTGTGTGTGTGTGTGTGTGGTGTGTGTGTGTGTGTGTGTGTGTGTGTGTGTGTGTGTGTGTGTGTGTGTGTGTGTGTGAGTGTGAGTGTGAGTGTGAGTGTGTGTGTGTGTGTGTGTGTGTGTGTGTGTGTGTGTGTGTGTGTGTGTGTGTGTGTGTGTGTGTGTGTGTGTGTGTGTGTGTGTGTGTGTGTGTGTGTGTGTGTACATACAGCAGATACTGGTGTGTTTCTCATTCTCTGTGGTGTTTATTTGACTTTCTCTCCTCCTGTAAGCACAGATTCATCCGTGTCATTCTGTGAAAGAGTCTCATCTGGAAACAGTTACAGTCTAGAGCACTGTGTATATATATATATATGTGTGGAGAAATAAATAAAACATGTCACACGGCAGATTCACATGCCGTTATGAACATCAAATTTAATATGCATCAAATTTAAGATCAAAATACAAGATCACAGTTTAAGGTGACAAATACATCACCAGTCAAAAGCTTTACTGTAGGAAGATTTTGGTTTTGCTTTATTAAATAAGAATCTTCTGAACTCCAGGCCTGTGTTTATTTGATCCACAGTACAGCAACTTGGTATATTTAAAATAGATGTATTAATATTAATAGCTAATTAAAATAGCTGGTTTTTGTTTGAATATATTGTAAATTAATTTATTACTGTGGTTTCTAAGCCTAATTTTAGCATGATCAGTGCAGTCACATGATCATTCCCAAATCATTGTAATATGCTGATTTGCTGTTCAAGATAAGAATTGTTATTTTTATTATTATTGTTATTAGTATTAATAATTAGCATTTAATAAACTTAAACTCTTTTATGTAATTTTTTTTTTTTAAATTTTACATACATTTATAATCATCTGTCATTTATAATTGGATTATGCTATTAGAATTCATTTTGAAACATTTGCTGTTTTCAGTAGTTTCTTTTATTGTATTGTATTTTTTCTTTGAGTTCTCTTTTACTCATCAGGTGGGCATGTATTTGTTTAAAATATTTATCAAATATATAGTCAAAATTGCAACCAATTAACCAAAAGCAACATCTTCTATGCTCTATTATGTCCTGCTGTTTTCTGTCTTCAAGCATGTTTCCAGATGGCTTATCTTTAATTTAATAACATTTTTACAATTAATAAAATTTTTATTTATTTATTTAGTTTTTATTCATTAATTTATTAATTAATTATTTTCTTTCTTTCTTTCTCTTTCTTTCTTTCTTTCTCTTTCTTTCTTTCTTTCTTTCTTTCTTTCTTTCTTTCTTTCTTTCTTTCTTTCTTTCTTTCTTTCTTTCTTTCTTTCTTTCTTTCTTTCTTTCTTTCTTTCTTTCTCTTTCTTTCTTTCTTTCTTTCTTTCTTTCTTTCTTTCTTTCTTTCTTTCTTTCTTTCTTTCTTTCTTTCTTTTGCCTTAAAAAGGTTCTTTTGTTAGTTTTAAAACAAAAATAAAAAGTTTATTTTATTTTTGTTTTTATTTTTATTTAATTAAATTTTTCTAAATTTAATTTTTTATTGTTTTTTATTACATTTTTTATTTATTTATTTTTCTATTAATTTTATTATTATTATTATTATTATTATTTAATTATTTTTATTTAATTTTATTTTTTTACCAAAAAAGATGCATTTATTTGTTTTAAAATATTTACTAAAAAATAATATTTAAATATTTACACCACTTATGCCACAAAATAATAAATAAATAATTAATATTTTATTATATCCTCCTGTATTAATTCTAAATAAATCCGGCTGTTTTCTGTGTACCAGCATGATCCCAAGCGATTTTAATTGTTTTTTTATTTTATTTTTTTCATGATTTATTTTATTATTTTATTTTTAATTTTGTTATTTCATTTTAATTTATTATTATTTGCCCACAAATAATATTTATTTGTTTTAAAATATTTACAAAAAATCATATTCAAATATTCACTACACTAATGCCACCAATTAATAGTCAAATGAATAATAAATATTTTGTTATATCCTCCTGTATTAATTGTGACTGAATCCTGCTGTTTTCTGTGTACCAGCATGATCACAGGCGGCTTATTTTAATATTTTACTGGCGTTCGTCTCAGTAATGGCAATAAAACTTAATTTTCTGTGTGTGTTGCTCATTGGTGTGTGAGTGTAAGTGATTTTCTGTGGTTTCAAGATGAAGTGTTGCTGTATTAGAAGGTTGACTGACTCTAGATCAGCCATTACTGCATCACATTCACACAAACACACACACACACTTTACGCTGCGTGTTTATTGAGAGCAATAGAAGTGATGGATGAGCTCGACATGCAGAAACAGCAGCCAGATCATATTTACATAAGTAATATACACTTCCCCTGGGTCTCATTAGAGTCATGCACTCGTATACTGTACTGTATGTGCTCAGCGCGTCTCAATGAAAAGTCTGTCATCTTTCACCCTTGTGTCGATCCATTGCTGAATGACTC